GTAAGTTAATAAGTCTGGCTGGATTGTAGAGTATGTGGATAGGAATGATGTGTAAGACTAGAAAGACAAGAAAGGACCAGATTGTGAAGTTTTAAATGTCAAAGAGAGGAGTTGACTTTGTGAGTAAATAGGGAATTAATGGAGTTTATGAAAAGTAGGGGGTGGAGGTGGGACATGGTTAGGTGTGCTTTAGGAAAATCATTTGGCAGTTGTGTAAAAGATGAATTGGAATAGGGAAGAGACGAGGTAGGGAGCCTTAATTGGAAGGCTATTGTAATAATCGAAAAGAAAGGTGGTGTTAGCTTGAATTAGGGATGGAGCTGTAGGAGTGAAGAGGAGACAAATGGGATAACTTCTTTTAAGATTCAGAATATTTTCACTTTTTTATGTTTTTTTCCTTTTGTTCTGTTTCTTATTTCACATGACTAACATGGAAATATGTTTTACCTGATTGCACATATATAACCTATATCAAATTACTTACAATTTGGGAACATGAAGGAGAAAATTTGGAACTCAAATTTTTTTAAAAAAATGAATGTTAAAATTTGTCTTTACACATAATTGGAAAAAATAAAATACTATTAAAAAAACATACTCAGAATTCAAGGGCTAACTTTGCAAGGAGTGGGGGTGGGGGGGCTTTTCTAGTCCACCTACTTACCAGTGCCTTCCCTTCCAAGTTTACCTTTCATCTACTAAATTTATCTTGTATGTGTCAATCTACGAATTTGTAAATGTATTTGTATACGTAGTCTTCCCCATTCAAAAGTAAGTTTCTTGAGGGTAGGAAATGTTTTTGCTTTTTCTTTGTATCCCCAATTCTTGGCACCCTTGAAGTAACTCTTGATGGAAGCCAGGGACTCTAAAAGGTGAAGATAGAAGAGGGGAGCATTCCAGACATGGAAAGGCATGGTGACAGTTGTTTAATGTATAAGACAGTAGGCTAGTGGAGTTGGACCATGGAGTTCACAAAGGGGGGGTCAATGAAACTGGATAGGTAAGAAGGGACCACATTGGGAAGAGCTTCAAATGCCAAACAGAGGAGTTTACAGTTGATCCTAGAAATAATAGCAGGCCACTGGAGTTTACTGAGTTTGGGACACAGATGTTTGATATATAGTTAGTTTAGGAAAACCTCTTAGGTCAGTGATTTATTCATTATTGGAGGTAGGAATAGAATCAGGTCTTTCTGATTTCAAGTCCCGGACTCTACACATTATGCCATACTTCCTTTTATATTTCATTTCATGAGAAGAGGTCTTTATTTGATATATTTGCTCAGCATTTCCTATTTATTTACTATGTTGGTCCACATTGTTGTTGTTACTAGTCAGTCATAAGCTCCTAGAAGGAAAGAATCCTGGAAGCCTAATTTGCTTTGTGTGGTACATTGCACAACAAAAAAACAAAACAAACCATCTAGAAGCTTCACTGACTTTTAAAATGATGCTCATGTTGAACAAATGTGAGTCATGCCACCAAAAACCTAAAGCCAAACAGGGTTCAGACTCTCCTGCCTTTTTTTTTTAACTTTAGGAATAAAATTGAACATTAAGACTTGCCAGTGCAGTGAAGACTTTAATCCTTATTTATACCCAAGTCAGGTACATAGCCATTGGCTGGCTGCTACTAAAAATATAAACAGCCAGGACAATATTTCAGATAGGATTTCCACATTTATGATTCAAAAATAGGGACAAAGTCACCTCTTGTACAACCGAAGCTTGAGAAGGGGTGACTCAATAAACCTCCCTACGGAAAGAAACCTTTCTACTACACTTTAAATTAAGTTCAAACAATCTACTCATGGGGACATTTGATAAACATCTCATATGTATTAATGTGCTTTTTTCAGAACTATGTAGTCAGATTTGACAAACATCAGTATATATGTCCTTTCCCAAAGTATTAGCTTGATTATAACCTATTAGTAGTTAAGAAAGGATAATAGATTAATCACTTTATTAAATCTAAGTAACTATTATTTGAACTGTGTTTTATTTATTTTCTAGTAAATGCCTTTCTATTACTGCAGAAATCTCTGGTTTGTTTGGGTGCAGCTAGTGAGGCTAATAGGAAAAATCTGATATAGCTCTGCCTAGAGACAGCTAGGTAGTACAGTAGAGAGTGCTGGACCTGGAGTCAGGGAGACCTGAGTTCAAATGTGACCTCAGATATCTACTAACTGTGTGATCCTGGGCAAGTCTGCCTCAGTTTCCTCAACTATGAAATGGGGATAATAGGAGTCTCCCAGGGTTGTTTTGAGGATCAAATGAGATACTTGCAAAGGGCCTAGCAAATAGTAGGCATTTAATAAACCTGTTTCCTTCCTGCCATATAGGTCAAATAAGCACTTTTCAGTAGGGCCACTGTTTCTTGATGCCTGCAGGAATAAAGTTCTTCTTTAGATACCGTGCATTTGTAGACAGGAATTCTACTTTGTCAAAGGAGTAGCATTTCTACTTTTTCTCTTTTTATTCCCATAATAATCCCATAAGAACCTCATGAAACAGGACAAGTACAATTATGTCCATTTTGATTGTAACAGGGAGGGCTTTACAAAGTCTTTGTATATCCATTATCTCACTCAGTCATCACAACAATCGTGTAAGTTAGGGAGTAGTAACTATCATCATCCCTACCTTACTGATGATACACCTGAGACTCAAAGCAATATGGTGGAGTGGGAAGAATGCTAGATTTGGAGCTAGAGTACTCGGGTTCAAATCCTGACTCTGTAACTTACTACATATGACCTTAGACAATTTATCTCACCTTTCAGGTTCTCAGTGTCTTCATCTGTAACAAAAGGAGATTAGGTCAGTTGCTCTTTAGGACCTTTTCCAGCTTTTTATCTAGGACCTTAGAGAGGTTAACAGGAGTGGGGAACCTTCGGCCTCAAGGACACATGTAGCCCTCTAGATCTTCAAGTGCAGCCCTTTGACTGAATCCAAACTTCACAGAACAAATCCCCTTAATAAAAGGATTTGTTCTGTAAAACTTGGACTGAGTCAAAACGCTACACCCTGGAAAGTCATAGTTGAAAAGTAGCAGGAACTTGGAGTCCCAGCCTTGCCACTTATTACCTGTGAGAGTATGGGCAAAGCACATTTATCTCTCTGGGCCTCAGTTTTCTCCTCTGCAAAGTGAAGGAGTTGGGCTAGATGGCTTTCCACCCTTTTCACAGTTGAGGAAACTGAGGCATTGTTATCAACTTTGAAAAGTACAAATAACATGTGATTGCCAAAAACCAAAGTCCCCAACTCCTGGAGGGATTCTCCTCTTCCTCCTCCTTCATCATGATGCATTCTATCTCTGGTTCATCAGTATATATAGCTACATTGGGAAGGAAGGGCAGGCCAACAGCAAGCCTTGTCATCCAAACTGACATCTCTAAAGAGTAGAAAGTCAATAAGGTCCTCTTCTGATTTGCCCTGCATTCAACTTTTCTGACCATGTCTTAGCAGCATTTTTTTCAAAGATTTGGGGATCAGTTAATATGTCACTCCAAGAGTTAATGCTTATGTATGTTTGTGTGTATGTGGGGTGGGCGGAGTGGGAAGTGGTGTACCACAAATTTTTTTCATTCCTTCCCCAACTTACCCTTAATTGATCTGGTATTTGTTAAATTAAAAAAAAAAAACCTATATGGAAAGGAGTAATTTTCTGTTTTCATTCACTCCTAGGCTTATCTATCTTCAGAAGAGAGAGAGAGAGAGAGAGAGAGAGAGAGAGAGAATGAGAGAGAGAATGCTGAAAGGACCAACCTTTAAGAGTATCTGCAGCTGGCCCCTGGTTACAATGTGGTATCTTCTGATTTAAGGTATGCACTTAAGGCAATTACGTGAGTATAACTGCCACTGAGGAATATTATTTGGCTCTGACACTTAACCATAACTCCACATACCAAACCATTCAAATGACTCCCATTGTATTTCTCCACTGCAATTATTTTATTTTTCTCGACCTGCTTCTAGGTAGGATAAACATCTCATTTCTTGGGGTATTTTTATGGCACTGAAACTTTTTTGAGCCTCCACCCTTCCTTTCAGGCTTCTGGGCACCTATCCTACCATCTTTCTGGGTTGGTTTAAAGAAAGTCTCTTCGGCCCATCTACATCCCTCAATGCCTGGGCTGTCTGAAGATGATCTCATTTTCCTCGGAAGCTCTCGGAATATAGAAGTTTTATTAATTGGGACGGAAGACTCCAGCAACGCAAGGGTCCGTGGGCCAAATTCAGTTCTATTAATTACATTCTGGCTCCGCTTCTTTTCCCCTTGGTTCACATGCCGCTCTGGTTTTTCCTTTTTCCTTTCGCCAGGGGTCTTTCGGGGTGACTGTACCACCTTAAAACAGAAGCCACCCCCCTTGAAGTTACTGCACTGGGAGGGGAGGTAAGGGGGTACAGACGCACAGAACCGTCGGGTGCGTCTAGACAAATTTCCACGTTCCCCAAAGCCCAAGATTCGAGATGGGGCCCTCGTTCTGGGAGGAAGAACTGATGGGCACCTGCAAAGCCAAAGATGTCGGGGCTCCTTCGGTGTGTATCTTAGAAAACCAATTGTCACCGGTGTGCTCAACCAGGCACCCGGAGCTTGTACCCAGCAACGCCCCGGGGAAACGCAACGGCTCCAAAGGCAGCCATCGCCCACTCTCCCATTTTTGGACTTTTTTTTACCTGAAGAATGCCGCGCTCTGGACTTGGCCCAGCGTCGTGGCTCTAGCTCCTCCAGTGGCAGCGGGGACGGTGGGGGTGTGACCGGGGAACTAGTAGGCAAATCTTGGAGAATAGGTTGTCTGGTTTTAGTGCCGTGAGACTCTTTCTTCGATCTTCGGGCGCCAGCTGCAGTTGTCGCTTCGATACATGCACTGTTGGTAGTTGAAAGTACTGTAGTCTTGGGGGAAGAGGCATTAGGCAAAGCTGAGCGGGGCTCGGACTCTGGCCAACACAGGATGCTGAGTGATGCTTGTGCTGAACTCTCAGGGATTGGACAAGTGGAAACTTCTCATCTTTTGCCAGACTGCCGGAGAGGGAGCCAGTGGAAGAAGTAGCGGACTTAGTATCTGCCCGATAGCCTTTCCTCAAGAGGAGAGACGCTGCCGAATCTGCAGGCTCTTTGCTCCTCAAGTGACCAGCTCCGAGATACTGAGGGTGGGAGAGGCGGAAAGAAAATCCACCCCTGGGGCTTAGCTTCTTAGAGTCGTCCGCAAATATAATCTGAGCTGAAGGGGCAGCGACTAGGTTCACAGGGTTTTTAAATCCATCTCGAGTCCTGAGGACTGGCGTGATTCCCCTAGTTTTGGCTAGGAAACCTCACAGTCTTGAGTAAAACCAGGGACTTAGAGCCTCCTTCAATCCGGGAAGGCGAGTCTTTTCTCCTCTTAAGCATTCAGAAAGTTACTCATTTGTGGACTTTTTTTTTTTACCATTTCTTTTAGATTAAAAGAAAACGGAAATTTTAACGTTGGTATCGTCTCTGCCAGAGGGAAGGAGGGGCCTTTTCAAGTGGAAAGAGACATTTAGCCCAAGTGGAAAGTACAGTCCATTGACAATTCAGCCCAAGAACGGGTTAACTGCCTCCTACTGGTTCAGTTTACATGTAAATAGAGAGCAGCTGCTCCTCTCCAGCTCCGGCAGGCTCTTTTAAGGTTTTGATTGGCTGCCAATGACATCACCGCCCGTGTTACAACATAGAGGACCCGAAGCAGCGTCGGATGAACCCTCCTTAAAGAGACAGGGCCACGCCCCCGACCCCGCCCCCTCTCGACACCCATTGGCTGCTGGCTGCTGTGAGGTGGCATTTGGGTTTCACCTAGAGCCTATTGGCCCAGACCGTTATCCGTCTGAGCTTGGCCCGCCTCCTACGAACCTTACATTTACAGTGTAGCAAAAGAGAAAGTAACTATGTTGCAGCTGGAGATCAATGAAGCTAAGTGAATGGGGGTTTAATGTACGAATCGATAGCTACAGTGAAGCGCCAAATGGTGGAGGGATACACTTATTTATGAAGTAAGTGGAAGTCTCCGCCTACACGCCTAGAAGGAGAGAAGAGAAGTGGAGGTGTGGGTTAGAGATGTGTTTGTGTGTGTGCGATGCAATACTCTCCTTTTTGGGGGGAAAACAAGGTAAGGTTAGAGGGCTTTGGGCTGGTGGCTACGTTACTCTGTGCGCTTCCACTCTTATGCGGTCCACTTGGGTTTGGGAGAAGAAAACCGAGGTTTGTTGGGGGCTTTGCGGCAGCTCTAAGCGTCTAAGGAGCGCGGGTTCCTCTGAGGTGTGTGAGTGATTGGGGGGTGCAGGGACTGTAGTATGTTGAGTGGAGGGGAAGGCGCTGTTTAAAAAATCATCTAATCACTTCATTTCCATTCTAGCCCCTTTCTGGCTCTGACTATAGTGGAATGGGATGGGGAAGCTTCCTCATACACCTTTAGTAGATTTGGAGTGCTAGACTTCATGGTTTCATGGAAAATATATACGACCCTCTGCTGCAGAAATGCAGATATCTTTGATATACTATGTACGTGTATGAGATGCCCCGTGCATCCACGCACTATATGCGAATGTAAGGAGTAGGGGTGTGTGTGTGTGTGCGTGTGTGTGCGTGTGTGTGTATGTATGTATGTATGTGTGTGTATGTGTACACATTTATTCTGTCTTTCTAGAAAGGAAGTCTATTGATGCCTGGACAAATTTTGTCAGCTAATACAATACTTTTATGCTTCCTGATGACATGAAACAGTTCTATTGCATTCTGAAATAGTACTCATTTTTCAAATACACCATAGGGGAGTAGGGGGAGTGTGAATCCTTTGCTGACATCTAAAGGTGGGTAAAGGAAATCTTAATCAGAGTCTGTATAAGATACTGTCTGTGGTGTCTGTGTGTGCGTGTGTGTGTGTATACATGCTTTGATTTGGCACAGTGACATTTCGTTTTTCTTTATAAGAATTCTGATAATTGTACATAAGATGACATTTCTACACTATAAACACGTTTTAAAGTTCATTTTGGTGAGCCTTTTTGGGGTTTGGCTTCTTTTCCATGTGTGTGCCTTAATAAAGGGGGAGAGAATAAGTCCATCTGGGTTGTACAGAGCTGATGTTCCATCAAACAGGAAGGACCCTGGTTCTTTGCAGACACACTCCTGTGTGTCTTCAAAGCAGAGCCAATTTCACTAACATATAACTGCTGTTTTTTTTTTAAATTTTTTTCAAAATTAGGTAATCTTTATAGAAGATCTTTAGATGATCTAAAGTTCAAAAAATATGAATAGATAGTGGTAAGATATAATGTTTACTACTAAGGCTTGCTACATTCTGGTCTACTGCTGAGCTTACAGAGGCATCTCCTTTGTGTATGGGGGTTGGGGTTGGAGGACGGCAGGCAGAGGAGAAGAGGAGGAACTGAAGAAGGAACCAAGGGGGCTGGTTGAGAACAGGGGAACTAGGGGGTGATGGATCCAGCAGGGTTAGGATTTGCAGGCCTGACTTTGGGGCTTTGTTTTAGTGCCACACTAGTCTAGTGGTAGTGAAAAGTAGAAAAATCAGATTAATATTCAGACAAGTGATAGAAAGAAACATGTTACTTACTATACTGTGCTTTTTTTTCAGTAGTACCATATGTAGTACATATGGCAGTTTTGGATTATTAAGTATATGTGTTAGTAAGAGGGCTTCTCTTAGGCTTCTTTCATTTTGACTTGAAGAAAGTTGACAAGCCTATTCAGATCTACCTAGTGGTGTCTCCCTATCTTCTATGCCAGTGATTTTGATAATCTTTTCTCTTCCTTTGCAGTGGGCAAAGGAAATAAATGAGAGTTTGCAATAGTAGGCAGCTATATTTCTCAGACAGTTCAAGTATACTTCTGCCTCCCAGAGGAGGGCAGAGATTAGATAACCTCAGGAGATTCCATCTAGCCCTCCAATTTGGTGATTCTTTGTGCTTTTAAAATTCCTACTCTTGGATTCAAATTTTTTTAAAAATTTTATTTTTGGTAGCCTAAATCCTGAAAGGTAGATTTCATTTCTATTTGCATGGGCTATATATACTTGCCCTTAAGGGTGGGATGTCAGAGTAGGCTTGGACCGATTTGTTTTGCATCCTCTTTGCATGCATGTGAAGTTGCTGAACTCTTTGGGACTTGCATGGTAAAAGGCACTGAGGGTGACTTTCCCCAAGAAGGATATAATGGCAAGTCTCCTTCCTCAGACTGAGGCATAGAATGCATCAGACTGAGGCATAGAATGCAACAGCCTGCATTTGTGACCTCTTTTGTGTCATGTGACTTTTCTTTTTTTTTCCCCCTTCTTTGCAGACTATCTTGAGTTCTTCTTGAATTGCCAGTTTTCAGCCTCCTCATGCCTCCATCTCCTTTAGACGACAGGGTAGTAGTGGCACTATCTAGGCCAGTCCGACCTCAGGATCTCAACCTTTGTTTAGACTCTAGCTACCTTGAATCTGCCTCTTCTATCAGTGATAACCACGTAGCCGTGATTGCCACCACCGTTGTGTCTCTAAAGGCTGCGAATCTGACGTATATGCCCTCATCCACCTGCTCTGCCCGCTCCCTGAATTGTGGATGCAGCAGTGCCAGCTGCTGCACTGTGGCAACTTACGACAAGGACAATCAGGCCCAGACCCAAGCCATTGCTGCCGGCACTTCCACCAACATAGGAACCTCTACTGTCTGTCCTGCCAACCAGATGGTCAACAACAATGAAAATCTTGGCTCTTTAAGTCCATCAGGTGGGGTGAGCAGCCCCATGTTGGGGACCCCCAAGCCACTAGCCAGCATCAAAATAATCTACCCCAATGACTTGGCAAAGAAGATGACCAAATGTAGTAAAACTCACCAACAGAGCCAGGGTCCTGTCATCATTGACTGCAGACCATTCATGGAATACAATAAGAGCCACATCCAGGGGGCTGTCCATATTAACTGTTCTGATAAAATCAGCAGGAGAAGATTGCAGCAAGGCAAGATCACAGTCTTGGACTTGATCTCCTGCAGGGAAGGCAAGGACTCTTTCAAGAGGATCTTTTCCAAAGAAATCATAGTTTATGATGAGAACACCAATGAACCCAGCCGGGTGATGCCTTCACAACCACTTCACATAGTCCTAGAGTCACTGAAGAGAGAAGGCAAAGAGCCTCTGGTTTTGAAAGGTACTTGACCTCTTCCCTACCTCTCACCCTTAACCTGTTCCTTTTGGGAATCTGCTGTGTATTTGCTTTTGTTTTGTTTTATTTTTTTTTTCCTTTTGGATTTAACACCAGTTCTCTCCCTCTCCATGAAAACCCAATACTCTCAAATCTTGCTGCCTTCTTTACCTTCCTTCCTCCAGGAGTACTTAATTGAAATCCAGGGGCCTTGGTTTCTGGTTTCAACTCTGCTACTAGCTAGTTGTATGATTTGGGGAGGGGCGTTACTTAGCACCTCTGAGCTTCAGTTTCTGTATCTGCGAAACGGACATCTTAATGACAACCCTGTTTACTTTGCTAAAGGTGGTTATGAGGATAAAATGAACAAATGTACGTGAAAACACTTACAAACTAGAAAGTGAAATCCTGATGTAAGGTGCAGGGAGTGGTGGGGGTATTATTATGAGGATCTTCTTATCGTTTCTGACGTGTTATTGGAGATGGAGCTAGAGGAGGAGGGAATTGACAACACCAACAATAAAGCAGTGTCAAGTTTTGAAACAGACACCTTTGTCTGAGGGATGGTCGTCTCCCCATCACTTCCCCACCTCAATATGTTTTATCAGCTTTGGAAAGAATGGTTTAAGCATAAGACAGCTTTTGAGCTTTTCCCTATGTGTCATTGTAGCCTGGAAAAGCTCCTTTACAGATAATTTTTTAAAATATGCCTATATCTTTACTAAAGCTTTGAAGGGATAATAAGTCTTCTTACAATAATGATTGTGTCTTATCTTAGTTCTTTCCTAGATGTGAAAAAGCGGGTTGTCTTTCCATAGCACCCCTTAGCTCATTGCTGGAAAGGCAAGAAGGAGGTCCCCGGAGCTGTTCACCATCTGGGCAGTATTGTTTCCCACAAGGACAATTCCAGTGTCCCATCACACCTTGCTTTAGATTACTTTGAGGCAAAGCGAAAAAGCTTCCCGTTTGCCCCTAAGACTGTCAGATATCCTCCCAATTGCTTTCACTTCCAAGTCGGCACTTGGATGATACTTAAATTAAACTTAATCTCCTTTGTGTCACTCTGTGTCCTTGTTGCACTCTGTACCCTTCTTTTTCTACCTTGCCCACGGAGGAAAAGATATAGTGTTCCTGCCCCTCTTCAGTTGAATGTTGATGGACTTTAGGGCTCTGACCTAAAACCAGCCTCTAGAAATATATCGTGGGTGGGTCTATTCATTGGGTGATCTGCTTATGCAAATTACCAGTACTCATTTTGCTAGAGCAAATTGGGTCTTTTTTGCATGTCTAGTTGGATGTAGTTTCTCATTTGCCATTCTCTTCAATTTCCATTCCTACCTCCATATATCTTCTATTAACTGGAAAAAATAAAGTTCCTTCTTTTTTCCCCAGTTATTCTCCTTCTCACCCCATCCCACTCCCAACCCCCCTAGTTTACTCTCATTGCATGTAGCCACCTGGAAAGTTCCATTCTTATTAGATCTAGTAGGCTATGATGGGAATGAATAAAAGAGATGTTTTTCACAATGATGCTGTGGGGCTAAAATGTCTACTCTGATGTCATGGGCTATAAATATGTTCATTTTTGAATTTGTCTCATGACATGTCTTAATATATTTGTGTATATATGTGTATTATACATATATATACACCACATACATGCATATATATGATGTAATATATGTAATATAATATATATTATATATAATGTTATATATGTTATGCATACACACACACACACACACACACACACACACACTTTTAGGTAGTGGAGGGACTTCTTCAACAGTTTTCCGGTGTCTTTGGGGAGGGAAGAGAAAGGAAGACAACAGAGCCATCATCTGCCTAATGATCTTCTCTTTTTTCTTCTGTAGGCTAGGCTCTTAAGCATGTCTGTTTGGGCATTCTTAAGGGAATGGAAGGGAATAAATGAACCAAATTCTGATAACTCTTGGAACTGAATCATGGTGGTAATTAGGAAGAGTTGTAGAAACAGTCCTCTGGTCTGCAGTGAGCTGTAACTGGCTATGAATGTAGGTGATAAATCATTGGACAAAGAGTCCTTCTAGTGCAACCCAGGGGTTACCCCTATGTGTTATTGTCTATCTATGCTTCTGAGACACTGGGCAGCCTGGCCTTGCTCCTCAATGATGAGATAGTGACACTTCCTCAGCGGGGCGGGACCCATTGCTGACTTCACCACTGGGCGCCCTGGTTGGGTCCTGCTCAAGGCCAGACATTTTCAGATTAGCGAGAAGCAGCGACAGTCGGGCTTAGAAGATGTTCGCGGTAGAGGTTGGCTTATATGTGGCTTTTTCTTTAGATATCCTGTAGACTTGGGTTAAATCTATAGCACAGCAAGGGAAGGGATATTAGGAGCATTTTATCTTATTTTTTGATAGACAATATAAGGAAGATTATTACTTTCATTGACCTGGTCTGAAATGGGTTGATAATAAGACTAATCAAGGGAAAGAATTCATTTTGAAAATATTCACAGTTCTTTTTGAGATGTATGGAGTGGGTAAGAAATGGGTTTCTTTACATATCCTTGACACCAAAGAGAAGGTGGGAATTTCTTAAAATAACAGTCAATAACTTTACCTAGAGGTTCTCCTGAAGTGTCTTTGTTTGAGGTCAAGCATGTTAATTTGCCTTTGCTGTTCTACAGGGTTTGGATTTAGAAAAGTCAGCCCTTTGGTGGTCTAGGATTTTATTATGTAGAGTAGTAGTGGTGCCATTTTGAAGTAGGTAATTCTTCTTTTCTTTTTTTGGCAGAGTAGCTTGGGGGGGGTTGGGGTCAAGAAGTTAAGCATAGGGAGGGGGTTGGACGAGTTAAAATATACCATACGGTAGAATCTCTAAATCTTCTTTCATTTATTTTGAGAGATTTCTCTTGCTCTATGTAATCCAGTCTAATTTATGGCTGGCCCATCTGATCCTCAGTTTTATGTTTGTAAACACTGGTTGCTACCCTCACTGTCCAAGTTTTATGTCCCCCTGTTTCAGCGCCATGTTCTCCATTTTTGGCGCTGCCTGTCAAGTGAGAAGCTACTCTGTTACCATTTTAGTAAGGCAGTGTCAGGTTGGGAAGAAACTGATCAGAGAAGCTGGAGCCCCTGGGATTAGGTTACGTTCTAGTTTGCAGTCCCACTGGTTAGTGACCTATGTCTAAAACCATGTTTGATTCTCATCTTCTTCAGAGAGGCAAATGGCATCAGACATGGGCTTCTTTCCTACCTGGAGAGAATGATCAAAAGGAAAAAAGAAATGTATATACATATATATGTCTATATACATACACACATATATAAATATATGTATGTATAGAGATATATATGTGTATGGATATGTGTATTTATGTATGTATATAGATGTGTGTATATATATATAGAGAGAGAGAGAGAGAGAGAGAGAGAGTATATATAGAGACATAGAAAAAGAGAGAGAGAGAGAGAGAGAGGGAGAGAGAGAGAGTGAGAGAGTGCCTACTCAGCTCTTGTGAGAGCAGGAGATTTGGTTTAACTGAATCCTGGTGAAGGCATGAGAGGCTTGAGAAGGCAGAACTGGGTCTCTGTTAGCTATTTCTATGAATCTCCAAGGGTTAAATAAAGGAGTGAAGTCCACTTTTTTTTTTTTTTTAACAAAGCAGGATTCACAGGAACATCTGCCAACTTAAGGGGTAAAAAGCAATGCCTTCATTTTCCTTAAAAGAAAAAAAAGTCTGAAGAGTGGAAGCAGAGAATTTACTCATATCACTTTAAAAAAAAGTCTCTTTTTAAACTGAGGAACCCCCACTGTGGTTGGCAAGATATCAGGCATGCTAGAGAAATCTCCTGTCTTTAAGGAGAGTGGGAGGATTTGGAGCGATTTTTAAAAATGCCTGTTTGGAACAGCCCCCATCTTCCTCCTTGTACACTCAAATTGGGAATCGATTACTGCACTGCCTGACAGGCCTGTTAAGGGAGCTGATGAGTTTTGTTGGACTATGGAGATGAAAAGGGAAAGGTGGGGAGAGAGGTGTGAAAGAGAGCCCAGGAAGTTTGTACATGAAGGAATTCTATGAAACCTCTTTTTTTAGAAAACCTTCCATGATGTCTCCTGGGACATGAGTTACCTATGATGAGTGTTTCTACAGTAAAAAGAGGTACCAAAAAGAGAGCCTTCAAAAGACTTTTACAAATGTGGTGACCTCAAATGTATGGCTTTAGCCTATAAAGGAAGAAGTTACCATGAAAATATCCCAATTTTCCTGAATTTGGCTTGTTAGTGGCTCAAATACCACCTTGCTGCCTCATAAAGATGTTAGGAAGATTTAAAAACAAGAAACAAACAACAATTACAAAAAAAGGATAACAGAAAATACTCTTCCTTATGTAAAATTTCTTACTGTTAAAATTCTTATCTTAGTTTCCAGATGTGTTCTGAGCGTGCCAGTCTGATCTAACAGAAGTAAAGGAGGACAGCTAAAATACATCTGGCTCTTGTTCCAAAGGAGGGAAAATGCTTTGCTGGGGAGGGGTGTGTGTGTGTGTGTGTGTGTGTGTGTGTGTGTGTGTGTGTGTGTACATGAACTTGTTGCTATGACCTAAAAATAACTGAGTGACTGCTAACTAATTTAAGTAGCATACAGTTGGAGCTCCAAGTAATTACAAAAGCATGTTGGGCCAAGAGGCCTGAGTGATTTGGGCACATCTTAGAATTATTTATTTATAATGGGATTTGTAAAAAATGTGATTATAAATCCATCCAGCTGATGTCATGCGGCTAAATAATGAGAGTATATGGCTATACAGCTTTACTTTTCTGGCCCCTTGTCAGGCTGATGTAGTTTTGGTTTGTACTTTAGGAAAAATGTACATACACACACACACACACACACACACACATATACATATATTTGTAATCCAACTACAAAAGTTGGGGGAAGGGGTAATGAATTGAGAGCAGGGAGAGTGGGCACATGCTGCATCATGAAAGTTGAGAGAAATGAGAACTTTGCTTTA